TCCTGGCCATACTACTAGGAGCAAGGACGCTACTAGGGGCTCCTGGCTATACTACTAGGAGCAAGGACGCTACTAGGGGCCCCGGGCTCCTGGCCATACTACTGGCCATACTACTAGGAGCAAGGACGCTACTAGGGGCTCCTGGCCTTGCTACTAGGAGCAAGGACGCTACTACAAGGACGCTACTAGGGTCTACTGGCCTTACTACTAGGAGCAAGGACGCTACTAGGAGCAAGGACGCTACTAGGGGCTCCTGGCCATACTACTGGGAGCAAGGACGCTAGGAGCAAGGACACTCCTTTTGATTTACAACTGTTTTTTGTGGTTCCTAAGTTGCTCTCCATCGCCCCGATGCGCCTGCTCGATGTGCACACCTTGGTTTTGTGTCAGACTTGAATCTCTGGATAATTCTCTCTCCATTGTTGAAACTGTTAGAGTCTTTGAGGTGATGGACTGCCTTTCAAGTTGCCAACGAGTGTAGAGGAGAAGCTGGCACCTCACCTTTTGTCCTTTCTCCTTTCGTATCAACGTTATCATTTGTATTATATTCTATATTCATTTCTTATGTCCTTCTTTCATGGCCAGGAGCTGGTCCCCTTTGGACAGACCGTCTCGGTTGGGGGCTTGCTGGGTTCCCAGATCAGCTTGATCTTCAAAGTAATTCCAACCATTCCAAGACCGGGGAGTCGAGTAAGTCTAGTCTATTTATTTGGTTTGGACACTCTAGCCACAGCTGAGATTCCGGGGTTTGAACAGCTTTTCCAGGATGGGAGTGTGTTCCGGATTTGCTCTCAAGAAGGCCCAGATCAAGCCGGCTTTTTTCTGCAGATCTTGCCCTGTGGCTGTCGAGAGGTTGGAAAATTGGCTGCTGGCCTTTTTGGTGGGCTTTTCTGCCTTCAGCAGGTTGGTGGGCTTTGCTGCGTTTTTTGCACGTTCCTGGCTTTCCAGTTTTTATTTGTGTCTTGCTCCTTTTCCCTCCAGGCTCTAGCTTATCAAGGCTACGTCACAGTGCACCCTATCTGATATGGAGTTGTGCTTCTCTGTGTCAAAGTGTTTTAACTTCAACCTCCAAACTGTCAAGGCAAGGTGAGTGCAGAGTCTCTTGAATGGTCACTCCATTGAGATTTTGCAAAATGTTGACTCTGACACAAGCAAGTTTGCCAAGGAATTGGTCGAAAGTTGAGTAGAGAACTCAGCCAATACAAACAAATTGCTGCTTTGGACCCGATGTTAGTCTTGTCTTGCTCCAAGCATACCTTGCTGGGTGTTTCTGGGTTAGCTGAGATGAGAGAGACTCTGGCGGTCACTTATCTTCTACTTTTTATGAGCGATACGGATGATGCATGCCAAGTGTCAAAAAGAGCCACGAGCGCACCTGCAATTGTGTTGACACCAAAAACAAGAGCGTGAGAAAAAATTGTGCAGTGTTGTTCGCGTGTAAAGCAGACCACAACAACCTTATTTGCACGGAGAATGCAACAACCTTGAGGCCCAAGTTACAGAACCATACCAAGCATCAGGACGGCTGATATCCTTGCCGAAGGGCAGGGACAACCACGACAACTCCCCCTTCTCCCAAGCTACTCTGACTCGCCCAAACACTTGGGTGGTGAACGCAACACCAAACATTTGAATCAAGTGTTTACACAATACTATCCCCTTCAGGCAGCCACAATGCAAAAAACAAGATGATACCTGCAACAAGTCGAGCGGAGATCATAGAAGGGGCCAGAAGACTGCGGAAACCACTCCCAGGAAGCAAACATAGCGTTGATACAATTCCGAGGCCTTCTTCAAAGAGGCCACCGCATTGTCATTGTACACGCTTTTCATTTCACTGTGCACAGGACAGGAATGTTATTATAGTAAAAGTTATAATCGTGTTTTGGCATTCTGAATGGTTTTCCCATGCAATATAATCCAGTCGGCCTGATAATATTGAGGGCTTCTATGCATTTGCAAAGTGTGTGTGTGTGTGTGCCTCTGCAATAATATGTCTTCCACTTTTGTATCCAGCTGGCGAGCTATGGCAAGCAAACCTCAGTGCAGCTGCAAAGACAATTTTTTTTGTTTCAAGATTTGCTCACAATCCAGATACAGAAAATCTTGAGGCAGGCTTTGTCTCTCCCTTAAGCCCTTTGCCCAAAGGAAAGACCTCACTGAAGTACTCGACGTGAACAAGGACTATCAAATCACATTAACTTGCCATATGGAAGGATTGTTGATCAGATAGAAAATCCCGATACCCTCCGAGAATGAGCAGAGTGCCAAAGTGAGCAGGATGGAAAACTTGATGCGGGCGATGTGAATGAGGGTTACACAAAAGTGCTCAAGGCCTAATCCAACGTTCAAAAAATTGCTTTAAACAAGATGTATGCACTGACATTTGTGGCAGATGGGTCCAAGCTGGTCAAAGTCCTTGCCTTCAAAGCAGCGCTTTTCAGGTACTCCAAAGCAACACGGCTGGTTTGTCAGGTGGCTTTGCAGGTGGCTTTTTGCTTGGGGCCTGATTCTAAGCGGTGCACCTTGCAGTTGGAGTACCTTAACACCTCAAAATCAACATTGCAAGCTGTTGAACTGCTTAGGTTCGCTTGGGCTAAAGGGACAGCCGCGCATGCTGCATGGTGGTCCTCGTCTTCCTGGCAGAAAGGTTTGTAGAAGCGACGGCGATGGTGGATAGCTGCGCCTCGCTGCACCTTGCTGCACCAACATAGCTCTATGTTAGTCACACCTTCATAGAAAGGACAGTGAGTCCTTAAGTTCCATATAGATTCGTTTGTCAGAGCCTGATGCGTTCAGCTTCAGCTAGCTGTTAGCGGTGTACAGTGGTCACTTCGATGATCCTGCGATCTCATGATAAGGCCTTGTTTTCGGTTTGAATCATAATGTAATGTATAGTGTGCCGCAATGTTTGTACAAAACCAATGCGGGAGAACATCCAAGACTACAGATCATTTGGCCTGGCAACACGTGATTTCTTTATATACCACATTTGAGATTGCATTAGTGTCGAAAAAGCTCTTGCTGCCTTTGCTTGAACATTTGCACAAGCAAGCTCAGTAGATTTTGTGTAGATGAATCAAGAGATCGGATCCTTGCAATTTCACAATCAATCCTGAGATGAGTGGTCTTTTGTGTATGATCGCTCTGCACCCCTGCCAAAGTTTGCATGCTCTCCCACAAATGGCTCTGAGACAATTAAGCAATTATATACCTCAAGATTCCACAGCAGGAATGGGCAAAGCCAGATCATGTCATGTGGAAGTTGCCATTAATTCTGAGCAACGTCTTTTGGAAATTTGATTAAGCCCTACTGGAGATTCACAGAGCGAGCAATGCCGACAATGCCTCTTGCTCATCTCAGGCTGGGGTACGGTACCGAGCTGATTCCCGTGCGGTCGCATCGCCGCATTTCGGTGACCGTTCTCAGGTGGCCTCTAGCCGTGTTTGGGCTTCTCAGTCCATTGGGTGTGTGCGGTGGCACCTTACGTGGTGAAGGCCAGAATATTAGGAGGTTTGATGACAAGACTCATGCTGTGATACTGGCAACTGCCCGCCACAGCTGGATCAAGAGTGACAAGATGCCAATCTGAGTTTCCAAATACCTCATGAATGAGCTGAGTGAGCTGTGACTCCATTTCACCCTTGGACTAGAAACAAAATACTACTTTAGTATCAGTGTACAAAGACGGCCAGCGATCCTCTTTCATGGCCGCTGCTGGTCGCTGCGCACGACTGGTGAGCCATAGCCTTCAAGGATTGAGGAGCGCAGCCAGTAATACAATGTCGCTGCCTGAGGTCTTCTTCGGTACGATGACGTTCGGCTGGTCCCAGGCAAATTGACCAGTTTTGAAGAGTAGTAACAAGAAGCTATTAGAAACAAGTGCATCGCTACTAGTAACAAGCGCCTTACTAGTAGTAACAAGTAACAAGAAGCTATTAGAAACAAAACTGGTATTGCGATCGCACATTCTTACTGAGGATGTTTGTATTCGTAGAGGTGTTTTGAAAGACAACAGATGGAAACAGAGCAGAAGAAACACCGGGCATTGCGCGCAGGCGAGCAGCAAAGTGGATGATGCCGTAGCATACGAGATGCTCAAGAAGTTTGTGGACCTCGGAGGTGTGCAAGTTGATACGGCCCGAATCTACTCTGCTGGTGAGACGGAGAACATCCTGGGACGGATTCTCCCCAAGCTTCGTGGAGAATCAAGTGCCGCGGAGAAAGATTTGATCCTTGGTACCAAAGTACATCCATCACAACCCAATGGACTCTCGGAGATTGGCATCAGAAAGCAGCTGGAAGCATCATTGAAGGCGATGAATGTGTCTCGTGTTGAGATTTTGTACTTGCATCAGCCAGACCCAGAGCATGATTTGCTGGAATCGCTACAATGCGTACAGCAGCTAATAAAAGAAGGTCTTGTTGGAAGGTATGGCATGAGCAACTACAGTGCTATCGAGGTTGATCGTTGCTGTACTCTTTGCAAGGACCGTGGCTGGTCCATGCCTTCAGTTTACCAGGGCCTCTACAATCCATTGAACCGACTGGCAGAGGCAGAATTGCTACCTGTACTTCGCAAGTTCGGCGTTTCCTTTGTCGCATATAACCCATTGGCAGCAGGTTTGCTGACCGGCAAGCACTTGGCGACTGATGATGTTCTCCCTGGTCGCTTCAAGGACAATCCAAACTACTTGCCGCGCTTCTACACAAAGCCAAACTTCGATGCCTTGTCTGGGATTAGATCAGCTTGCGAGGAAGCCAAAATATCCATGGTTGATGCGACATATTCTTGGCTGTTGCAGCATTCTACTCTGAGTGCTGCAAAGGGTGATGGCATTCTGCTTGGCGCTTCATCGACATCTCAGTTGGAACAGAACCTGTCTGCCTGCAAAAATCCCGTGTCACTTCCACCTCCAGTGCTTGCAGCCTTTGATGCTGCATGGCCAGTAGTACAGGCTGGTGGAGATGTGTTCCCTTACTGGAGATCCTACTCAAAGGACCAGCCAGGAAGAGAATCTTTACCACCTGGAGCCTCATACTCTGCGGCCAAGAAGTAGTGTTGTTCATGCCTTTCTTCCACTTGGTCAGACTTGTGAGCGATCCAAAACACACCCAGACCGAAAGCACCCAGACCGATCCGCAACTTGGATTCGAGCCAGCTTAGGACCTTAGGGACGCTTCGGAGCGTCGAAGGTTTTGAACCATGTCAAGGTCCGTTCAGCATGCCCACAGATGATTTCCTTGCAAAGCAGAGCTATATGCATAGTGTGTGTTCAAGTTCCTACTTGCTTTTTTGTGGTGACGCTGGAGTTGCACTAGTTTGGTGTCAAGTGCTGAATCATGTCATGTTTGTCAAATGAAGAAGCGACGTTCAGTAGAATCTACAGGTATTCTAAAAAGGAAGAGAAAGGTATGGGTCTGACTAGTCTTCGTTGTATTTCCTCCTTTGAGGGAGCCGCACTAGAAAGGTCTAGGGTTAGGGCGCAAATATTGTGTGGCCCGGTGCTAGGTGCCCGGGGAAAAGTACAAGCACTCCGCACTCCCTGTAGAATTGCTAACACAGATTTGCAGAGAGAAGATTCCATATCAGTTTACATTTTCTGTACCCTTCTAGCCAAACTGGTGAACGCGAGCAGTTGCCTGGAATCTTGGGAAATGGCATGTTTGGCAAGGATCTATAGTTGCATTCACTGTAGAAGTGGCATGCCATTGAATTGTGGTTCAGCAGCTCAGCAACCGTTTTTTGAGCACCAACACTTCGGCAAGACCTTAAGTGCAGGTCCAGTGCAAGTCGTCGTGGACATTCCGCATCATCGACGAGTCCAACTGTCATGCAGGGGGACTGCGTTGCTTGAAGTGAGAGATCTTCTTGGACATTTTGTTTCAGCTTTCTTGTTGATTACTAAGAGCACAGCGTTTTCAACATATGTCATTTAGTTTCCTTGCTACGCAATTGCTATTGCAACGCATTTTCCACCAGCTCAAACGATGCTGCTCAGCTCTGTAATGTACAATCAATTCAAAAAGCTAAATTCTAGGGCCGGGCCGGGCCTAGGGTCTACTTCTGCGTAAGCATTGTTTAGACACCTTTGACATCCGACTTTTTCTTCCTTCAAGGCTTCGCCTTCAGCTGGTGCCAGCGGGTGGCCGAACACCATTGGTGTCCCCGATGCTCGCTCCGAGCGTGGAGGACGTGCCCTGCAGCAAGGCCGGGCCTCGGCCGTTGAGCCGTCGGGACCTCCTCGGCGCGGCAGGTCGAGACGTCCACGGAGCAGGGCGTTTCCACCAGTGCCGGCTCCGTGACGGTGGACATTTACGGCGTGGTGAGGATCTACTCAGGTCGAGATGCCGCAAAAGTATACAACTGGTCTTAGGATGCAAATCACCTTGGGTTATATAAGATCTTTTGATGCGTTTTGTTGGAGTGGTTTGTGGACACACCCCTGTGATACTTTGAAACGGACATGCAAATGCCTTGTCCAGTTGAGGCAGTGGTGGTGCTCGCATTACAAATTCTACACCAATTGTCAGCGACAGCGAAATGGTGTTCTATCAGCCGAGGGGAAGACTGCTAGGCCAGGCGTAGTGTGCTCTTCCTGTGGCGAAGGCGGTCTTTCCCTTCAAAGGAGGTTTCACCAACCTTTTGATGCATCGCGACTCTGGGTAGTTGGCTCTTGTCCGTGTTCACTTGGCAGCCCTGCCTTCTCACAGCGCACACCTTTGCAATGTGTTTGCCGTGAGGTGGCGGGAGTGATTCTCCAGGAGGTATGAGTCTGTCGACTCCGTCAGTATCGCCAATAGATGCTTGGCGCAAGATCGGAATGTCTGTCCCGTAGCAGTTTTGGGTGAACTACTCATTTTGGGCAACGATTTGAGGTTGGCAACACTGCATGCTATGCCCCATACTACTACTCAGAGGCTTGTCACATCATGGATCATCTCGTTTTGCTTTCGGCTCTTGCTTCTGCCGCGCTGTGTGCCCTTTTGCAGATGGGATATGGAGTTCTGTCTGTAGTGGAGAGGGCCGTCACTTGGCTGCATTTGCATCATTGGCCGCAACTGTCAATACTCTTGCAATTGTAAGAATTCCTGGAGAGCTTTTCTCAGGACTACAACAAGTACCCTGCAAGCTACGAGTTGACTAGCTACGGTGACAGCCAACGTGTGAACTGGCTCTTCACTGGAATGTGGGTGCTTTGGCAAAAGAGACAAGGCAGAGGAACTTTTAGAGCAAAGTCATTTGACAGATTGCAGTGTTTTTTTCTTTCTGATGATCATTAAAGAACTACGTAAGATTGCAGTTAATTGTTGATTTAAGTTAACGCATTCATTTTCATTCATTTCATTCATTTTCAACCTTTCCTTCTAGTGCATCCTTTTGCAAGCTCTCCAAGGATATGTATATAATGCCAGCAGCAAGCCTACGTGAGGGAACTCGCGTTTTCTCCTGAGCTTTCAATGCCAGCTGGCACCCGGAAGTGTTGTGAGGTGAATTTGTATTGACAGCACTTGTAAACTATGCCCATTTTTGCAAGCCCAAACTTAAACTTGACATGCTGTGAAGGCCTACTATGAGCTCACAGGACGACCACCAGTACCACCACGCTATACGTTTGGCAGTTTGCTTGCACGACAGCAGATTGCACAGATGTTTGTTCATTGGGATTGCCATTTTAGCTGTTTAATATTCACCGCTTCTCTGGCAGCAAAGGCTTTATGGCCAGCAGGCCGGGCTGGATGTGACAATTCGTCACATTGGGATGAACCGTTTATGCACATGGGTAAAGCAGTTCTGATGTTTTGATCTACCTATCGTATGCATTTCACTGTCGAGGGTGCTTCCACTTCGCAACGCATTTGCGTACAACCGGACTCCTTGGGCGGCGAGTGACGGAGAATTGGACTCAATTTCTGAGTCGTTCTGTTCAGGTGGGGCTGGAAGGATCGCACATACATTGAGAATGTGATCCAGAAATTTCGTGATGGCAAGTATCCAATTGATGTATCCTGGCGCATCGGAATTTTGAGTTTGACGTCAGAGGTGCTCTGAGAATGTCAATCTAGATTGCCAGTATATTGTGAGGGACGCAGAAAGAATATGAGGGTCCTGCCTGAGCTTAGGCAATCATCATGGATTTTGAGTGGTGCCTTGACCACTTTTGAACATTGTTGGACCCCTTTGTCCATGTTGGACTCCTTGGTCCTGCTTGGTGTTCTTTAGTAATTGAGATCAGCACGCAATTTCCCGTTTGAGGTTCACCAACGAGACTGACTATGGATATGCGCCCAGTGAAGGCAAATCCTACTACAAAGACTTTGGCTTCAACCCAGTGCCTTTGGCTTGAGTGCACTGAAAGAGGTACCAAGACACAACTGAAAACGATGCAACAACAGCTGAACATATCGCATTTTCGCTGTTTGGATGACCATTTCCTTGTTTCGGTTCAGCCTTGTTGGACTATAGGTGACCTTTCCCGAGCCTGCATATCAGCTGGCGGAATATGCCTTCAGTTGCTGGATTGGAATTGCAAACTTGAAGCGTTCTTTTAAAGTTCTTTGGTTATACCGTACCAGCATGGACCCAAACAGTCTCGCCGTTGTCGTGGATGGCAAATACAGTAGGTCCATGTTATCGGCGACCCTGCCCCTTGCACTCCGAGCAGGAAGCGAACGACGTAGGACACGACTTGAACAAAGCATGGACCGGTGCAGAGGACCACACCCAGAACAACAGGACAACCGAAGGACACCAGGACAACACGAGGGCAGGGACGTAGGCTTGCCGCTCTGGACACAGAACAGCAACACCTCGGGCAGCGACAACAGCAGGACAACGACCGGACGGCTCAAGACATATCTAGATTTTGTGGAAGCAAGAGATGCGGAGATAAAGACTAAGCAAGGAAGCTATAAGCCCGCATCGTTTCCTGACATGCAAGATTTCCATGCTTGCCCCTTGCATGTTCATCGAGCCCCTTTTTTTGTTCACACGAGCCACAAGTTCATCAGATGGGCACAACCCCCACACCCAACCAGTCCATCAAGGGTTTCCTTCTTCCCTCTTTTCCCAAGAGCAAAATACAATGTCCCAAGCAGTTTCACCAGCATTTGTTGTTGTGGTGGATCGGAAAGACTCTGGGTGTATGTCATCAGTCCCCCGGTCTATTGCCCTAAGCAGCGACACGAAGAAGCTAGCAACATACCATGCAGGCTCTTCTGATGTGGCCAGGAAACATGGAGAAGTCGAACAAGACAAATTGGGAGGATATCAACACGACAGCAGAAGGACAAGAATCAGGGTTGCAGCTGCGGCCAGGCTGTGAATACATAAGGGCGAAGCCTCGTGACAAGAGAGGACATGCCTGGCCAAAGAGGGGCAACTCCCCGACCAAAAGTAAGACATGAGGAGCGCAACAAGAGGACAAAAGGAGGCACACAGGTTTGCGGCAGAGGACAGAGGAGGACGACGCCCCAGACAGCATAAGAGGACAACGCCTGTACACAAACTTGCCGCCGGCAGGCTGCGGAACAGACCCGGACAAAGCATGGAGAGGTGTGGTACAGGAGAACAACACGAGGGCAACGGGGCAACAGCTGGACACAATTATGCAGTTCTTCTCCAAACACAAATACCGGCAGGAAATTGGTTGAGGAGATTTCCTAAGTGCCATGGCCAGCTAGACAGTTTATCCAGGCGTTACGCCCATCGTGGATATCAGCATTCAGCATGCATGTGTTTTTTCATGTGAAGTTATTTTACATCTTGTCACGGGGTTTGCAAGATTTGGAGCTCCTTGCCTTGCAGATTCCAACATCCGTGTGGCTGGCATCCGAAAACCGCGAATGGGCAACTCTGCCGTGATCGAGGTGCGCGACGACCAGTGCGTGCGTGCATGCGTGCGCGAGCTCGGCGGCTGTACATCAGGAGCTTGAGGACAAGAAGTGGCTTCTGCCCCACTGCGAGCCTGCTGGGAGGCAGGAAAAGGAAAGATCAGAAAAGGATGCAAAGGTTCAAAGGAACGCAAATGGGCAGTGAGTGGATTCAAGCGTTTGCAAA